AAGAAAGCATGTTTCTACGTATCTTACAAGATAGATTTCAAACGATTGAAGGCATTCCCAGTGGAATGAATAATCAGAATTCCGGGTAAAAGGGAAAATAATTAGTACCTGATGCCGATTGCTTCTTCAATGTAATTCAATGGTTGGTTTTTGTTTTTTTTTTTTTTTTTCTGAAACCCCTATGGTAAATCTTGGTCAATGATTTTATGAAAATTGAGAAGATAAGAGTGTAAATTTACAACAATAACATATGCACAACCACTCTCCACAAACATTCTTTCCATGAAAAAGTATTCAATCTGCACTGTACATACTAATAAATTATCCTAGAGAGTTATGATTCCTTGAGAGGCTACATCATCTCCTAAATTCAGATTGTCGAACCTTGGTTAAACCATGCAGTGACTTACCCATGTCAATACCCAACCAATTGTGCTGAGTCTTTGTTTGTGAAATGATGTGTTAATGTAAAATGCCAATCAAGTGCAAGTCCAAAGTCCAATCACACAACCCATAATGAATAAAAACAACATAATCTAAAAATAATAATAATAAAATACTGCATATTTTGAGTCCACTAGTTGCCCTTTGCCTCTCACGTAGGGAGTGAATTGGAGGAATAAACCCAATAAATCATGTTCGTTAGTAAATAATCAAATCAAAAGGAAATAAATTCAACATATCAATGGAGGTACACAGTTGGAAACCATAGGGTAGACAGAGATGAGAATAAAAAACTGAAACATACTTTACCACTGTGACCAATCAGCCATCCATTTTACAAGTCCTCACCCCATGCAATGCATTTATAAGAAGTCATGAATCACATTATAACTGTGCTGCCTAATTCCAGAGAATAACAATAGTCTAGATGTCAGGCTCAGTATAGAAAGATAAATATATGCCATTCTCAGCATAGAAGATGCAAATAAGATTCCAACCTCAGACTCAATGCATTGTGCCTTACCTCGGCCTATCAATCATATAGCCAAGGGGTAATCTGAATTACCAAGGATAGTACAATCTGAATTATCCCAATTCAAATGCCTTAATTAGCTTCCATATTTCTTGTGAATCCAAGCAACAGAAACTTATCTCAAGGTCGGAGTATCTAATAAACATTAAGATATCAAATACAGAAATAAAGTACCTGGATTTTAGTTACCTTTAAGACAAGATCGTCAAAGCACTATTCTACATTCACTTGAGTTTTTGCACTGCACTCTATAAAAAGGCTGGGAGTTCATATTCCTGAGCAAAGTCAATACCCTCCCTCCTTTTCGAGATCTCATTCACCTTCCTACAAAAAATCACCAATGTGAATTGTACCATTAAGTTCCATGTATAAAATAATAATGCTCAAGAATCATTCTCAGTAACACTCATACAGGCCCATGAGAATATTTCAAATGAATTCAAGGTTAAGTTCTGACTGGGGCAAAAATGAAACATAGATAAAGCAAAATTGATCCAACTAAAGGGGAAAATTCACTACCTCTTCAATCAAATACCTTATCAATTTTGTTTCCAACAGGCATCTTGATGCAGTCTTGATTTGATGAGTTCATATAGACATGTGAATGTTTCCCACAGGGTTACATCATATACGGTATCAATACCACAAATAAAATACTGCATCAGCATAACAGCCTCTAAGCTTTATTAGCAAGTCATTTATATTTTTCTACCAAAAAAAAAAAAGCAAGTCATTTATATTTCAACCACAAAAAGTAGGAAAAAAAAAAAAAAGTAATAAAACAACAAGAGTATTCAAATCTAACCAACTGAGAATTAGCTGTAACCTTCAGAAATCAAGTCAATCTGTAGCTTCGTCGCTGTTGCAGTTGGTTGCCATGAACTCATGCAACTCAAGGTCGTGGCATTATCTCTCTGTTATTTCTACTACTCGCTGCCTATAGATCTGTTGCTAATTTAGCTCAAATTTGATGAATATCTCAACGACTGAGTGATTTGTGCTTTAAATTTCGAAATAATTTGTTTGAATTTGTGTTTGGCTCCATCGTAGGGATGAATTCATTTCGAAAATTTAGTCTGAACACTTGGTTTCTGCAGAGATCCAATTCATGATGCTAATCTTCAGTGTGCCAGATCTTCGTTATATCTTGAACCGTTTGTTAGATTGATTGTCCATAGTTTAAATCTTTGTTTTGAATTTGAGAAGTTCTTTAGAATATGTTTGATGGATTTGGAGTTCTATGTTCTGAATTCTGTCAAAATTTTGATTCAGATTCTATCCAAACACCAAATGTTTCTGTTTTTTGCTAAAAAATATCAGCTACGTTTCGTTTAATCTCTCCTTTTAATCAAGTTTAGTTTTCCTCTAAATCAATCGTTTGATTTTGTCCCTGTTCTGAGTTTAAATCCGGTGATGTTCACAGGAGATGAAAAAGAGTTGATCGAAGCTCTACTGGAGCTCCGATAACAAAAAGGTGACGATCCTCAAGCCGGAGGCAAATCCATAGGGATCCATGTCCACAGAGGCATCGTGCTTATCGAGCAGCTCCAACACGATCTCAAGCACGCGAAGCAAACACTCCGCCGAAGTTGAGAAAAAATCAGCAGTAAATCTCGAGAAGTTAAGGAAGAACCACGGTGGTTCAAGACACATGCGCCGCCGAGCCAAAGGGATTCTGAAGTTGCTCTCCGGCAGTGGCTTCTCTAAAGTGACGATTGGTCAAGTCCTCGGTGACAGCCCTAACACAAGCAAAGCCCTTAGAATGTACTCTCTCTCTCATCTGGGTTTGAACTTCCGACGTGTCATATGATGTGGCAATTTCATTGGTACACGTCACAAAATGGTTTGATTATCACAGCCGTTGGAATTGAAAAAATCTGACTGGTGAGATGAATCCAATAAAATTCCCTACGATCACCATGACCAATACTTACCCGTGGCCTATCCAATTCCAGTGACATCAGCCTTGGCTGCTGATTCCCCACGGCGAGCAAGTCCTGAAGCCAAGCAGCAGTGAACTTGAGATCCTTATCAGTCCAAAGTCCCTCTTCTGCCATAGCATAACTTAATTCCAATATCTTGTCAAACAACTCATGCTTGTTCGACCTCCATGATACTAGGAATTTGATCAAACTCAAACGGCCTACATTCACATGAAGATCCTTTTCCTCCGAAAATGGAAATGCCTCATTTCTATCATAGCTATGAATTGTGGGTGGATAGACAACAACATAACCACCAATCTCCCACAAAAGCCTCCGTCCCTAATAACCCAGCAAAACGTCAGAAGCCATGGTGCTAACAGAAACAAGAAGCATCAAAAGCCCAAAAGGCTGATGAATGATACATGGTATTAAATGAATTCACCGGCACCATCATACCTTGTGGCAATGCCACTTTTGGTGCATGCTCATCAAATCTAATATCAAATGCTTTCAAACCCGACATTCTGGTAAAATAAAACACAGAATCAACGTCAGGTAACCCATTGGAAATCTCTTGTTGTATATACTGCTTGCCACCAAAGACCTCAGTGTAAAACTCCTCACAATGCCCAATTTCATCTACATTCTCCAATGGCAATCCGCTCGGCCAAACTGACCTTTGCCCAAAATGGATGTGTGGGTTCACTACAGTACTATTAGGGTCATCACTTATCATGACTACATTGCAAGATAGACTCCTGCCTAGCTCCCTCCCCCACCAATTCTACATCAAAATGCTTCCCTGAATCGTCACTAATCACCTCCCCACGATCATCACAACCAGGATCTTCTTTGCACCATGTTGGATAGCAAACAAATAACC